AAAAAAGGTGACAAAAAAAGTGACAAAACCGAACCACCATGGTTTTGTTTAAAATTAAACCAAACCAAACCAATAACTATGTCAAACCGGTCAGTTTTTCGATTTTTTTGCCCACTCATAATTTTGAGACTCGGATGTTACACAGTGAACCATACAAGTATTTTATTTAAACAGCGTGAAAAAAAAATAAGAAAACAATTAAAAATGTGACAACAATTAAAAAATGTGACAAAACACCAATTAAAATATTGAAATCAGTTCAATAAAGTAACTAAACTTTTCATTTAAGTCAATTAAACCAACATTGTTGAGAGATTCTTAAATCTCAATTCTACAAAAAGAGTCACTAAAAAAAGTAACAAAATTTTTTTTATAGAAATTGTCACTTTTTTATAAAAAGAAATGAGACATGTCACTTTTAAAAGTTAAGTGTCACTTTTTTATTAAAAAATGACATACAATGTCACTTTTATTAAAAATTGATGTCACTAAAAAAAATGATAGAAATCAAGAAGGTAACTAAAAAAAAGTGATAAAACACTAAAAAAAAGTGACAAAATTAAAAAAAGTGATGAATTCAAAAAAGTGGCACAAATTAAAAAAAGTTATACATGTAAAAAAGTGATAGACAATAAAAAAGTAACACAAGTTTAAAAAGTGACAATTCAAAAAAGGTGATAAACTCAAAAAAGTATGATTTTTTTTTTTTTTGGTTAAAATGACGAAACACCACTAAAAACCTTAACATATATCATTTAAGCTAATTCAACCACTCCACCACCACCACCACCACCACCGCTCCAATAACCAAGGCTTCAAAACCATTATTGCCTCGTTTCTTCAATACCCAACAAAAACTTGCTGCCAAATATTAGGTGTGTCTATTCCATTCCAATTATAATCCACTATGAAAATCTGGATCAGTATCACAATTGACTTAAAAGGTAAAACCCAAATCTAGTGTTACTGTAATTTTTTCTTCAGCATATCCAAAAAAATAATGTGGAATGTTAATTGATTTCATGTTAAAAAAAATGTGAAATGACATGGACAGAACAATGAAATGCTCGTGGATTAAGAAAAACATGTGGGATTCAAGTGCACTTTCAAGAAGCGTGGGAAAGCAGGCGTAAAGTTGTAATTGATTTATGAACACAGGAGTAGGAACAAAGAAAGAGTGGAGGGAAATCAATTGATATGAAGGGAACTTTTAATTGATTT